TGGATGTAAAACTTTTTGCGCCTTTGAGTGGCTAGCACAAAACGAACTGTACAACTTGAAATGATTTACGTAATATAAGAAGGCACTTCCAATGGAAAACAGGACACCCTTTGAAAAAAAAAAAAATTATCCACATATTGTACGATACTTATATAATTAATACTTCTATTATTAAGTATTTGTACCGATAAATGTTATATAACTTAGATATCTTTCCATGGTAATTGTATGTAAAAGTTGAATAAATGAAATTAATTTTGATGAAATTTAAATATGTCGTCAGGATGAAGATTTTGAACTCTATAAATATGCTCGGTATTTCTGAGATATTCGTAAAAAACTGCTATGATTTTTTATTGAATGTGAAAATATTAAGCCGAACGGGAAAATTATCAACAACTTTTAAACTGCTACAACTTCTTAACAAAAAAATCGTAGGCCTATTAATCTCATACTCATTTCAAAGCATGAGGTTTCTATTATTCACAATTTATGTATTTTGAAAGAGATTAAATAAAGATACTTTTTTTTTAAATTTCGCAAATTCCATGCTTTTATGGACATTAAGAAAATTTTTTTCTAAATAAATTCATTCTGTTCTTGAAAATTGGGATTTTCTCTTTACAACGATGCTTTAAAATTGTACGATTTTTTTTTAATACAATTAGAGTTTAAAATATTGATAATTTTTTATCGTGTATACAGAAACTTTCTGGAATAATTGTATATAGAAAAAAGTTGTTTAAAATTTTTATCCTGATAATATACTTAAATTTCATCAAAATCAATGAGATGTATTCCTTTATGCACAATTATCGAATAATTTTTCTCCAAGATCATTTTTTGGAGAATTTTCAACGTCATGGATTTTGTTTTTCGAGGAGGATGCCCATTTTAAATGGCGTGATCATTTCTGTAAGTATTAGAAATCATATCGTGTCACGATCATGCAAAAATGTATTAAATAAAAGTTATACGACATCGAAGCAAGCATATTATAATAATAATTGTTTGACCTTAAGATAACGTCAGAGTGTACTGTAAAGATCACGTTCAAATTTTTAAATAGAATCTCTATATATTAATATGCCTCGATCACTTATAAAAATATATCGAGCCGTATTTAAAACACTACTTACACTTGTAATTTTTCATAAACTTCTATTGAAAACTTTAAAAATGTTTATCGTCGTACGTGCAATGTCGTTTGGTCAGACTTTGCATTGTGATGGCTCTAAAGAGCCAATTTTGCATGTACGTTTTAAAATAGTGCAACATGTTCTCCATTATTAAGAATACATTTTTGTAATCAAACTTGGAATTTCTTTTCTATCTTTTTAGTCTTTCAGTTGTTACGTTCGCATACGCACTAGTTATTCCAACTGGAATGCGATAAATTAAAGAAATTGAACGACGAATTTGATAACAATGATATTGAGTTGTCAATGTATTTATTTTGAAAACATTCGTTTAACCAGCGTTTCACTGTTAACATGTGATCGAATATTGTCTGACTTTCTTGTGCACATTGAATAAAACTAATACCGATAGTACGAAAATTTTTAAAATCAATAATTCAACGAAAATCTACGAAAAATACAAGTGTAGATAATATTTTGAATACGTCTCGACAGCTATGAGAATATGCAGAATGAAAAACATAGGATCTCATTTAAACATTTAAGAAAAATTCCTTCACAGGAATCTGTGAACATTATCTCAAAATCGAACGATTATTACAACAATATAATGTGCCTTTTTCGATAGCAATATAATGAAGAAAAATATTTTTATATTTTTACTTACAGAAATAATCACATGTAGACATTTAAACGAATAACTATACATTTTATTGCATCGTGTAGCGGACTAAAAAATATGTTCAAATCTTGATTTCAAAATGAAACGACCTTGATTTCTAAAAATTAAAGCTTTACATGAAATTCATATCTGCGAAATCGCAGACTTTGCCTGTTTCAAAACGTGAACAATTAGAAACTTACGAATGTAAATAAATATGTTTACTCTTGCAATACTAATAATTTCTGATGGTTTGAGGTCCTAAAATTGCTATATAATTGACCAAAGACTGCGATTTCGATAACATAAGTTTTACGTGAAATTTTGGAAATAGAGATCATTTCAAGATCATTTCACACGTTATTATAATA